TACCATATTGAAAAATATACTATTTTTGTATGATAATTATGGGTTTTGTATTTTATTTTAATAGAAGTTGATGTTGCTTTTGCAATTATCCATCAATTTTTTAAAATTAAACACTATCTACAGATTTGCATCGAAGCGTTTCTTATGATAGTGATTTTAATCACTGTCAGATTAAATCTCTACTGGACCCTACTATGCAATGTCTCCACTATGCCGTGACCCCACTGTGCTACCGTTTTTTTTGGTTCTTTTAGTCAAAGTATTATTATTACTTATTTTAACTTTTCGTGTATTCTTGACACTGAAGCATTATATCGGATAAACATCATTAAATAATTGAAAAATAATATAATTTGTAGCTAACAAGAATATGGTAATTATCACTTAAAAGAGCATACTTATTTTCTCCCGACTAATAACTATACTGGGGATGTTTGTAAATATTAAAAATGACGCGGACCAAAATATTTAAAATAAATTATATTAATTTTTTTGGAATAAATAAAAGTTATTTAAGTTAAATATTATGAATTTAAATACACAAATATGCACAACTATTGCATTTGAAGTTGATATAACTTGAGTGTACTTTTAGTATTTTTTAATTGAATTTGAAACCAGATTATTATTTATTTTGATTTCTTTTTATATTTACTCAAAGTTATTTTTTAATCGTAAAATTTGGTAGCTGTTGTAGTTGATATATACACAAATAAAAGATGTAACGGTTCACAAGTGTTTTTTTTTTTTGAGGGAGAACGTTATAAGAAAAAAAACAATAATAACGACTTGTTCATCGAGAAAATTGAAGAAAAACCGTTCCTTTCGTATGCACAGTCGTAAAAAAGAGAAACACCGAAGAAATTGAACACGGTCGATCGAAAACCAATTTGAATGCAAAAAAGGACTCAAAGACTTTGAATACATAAACCCCTCTCATCCCTACGTAATATTCGTCAATGTTTACCAAATGGAATCATATTGAGAATATTTTGTTATTAAAATAATATTAGAAAGGGCCACATTCATGTATTTGTTCAATAAATACATGTTTTAGATGACCATTTTTTTGTATTATAATATTTTTATGAAAAAAACATTGAAAGTTCATGTTTTGGAAATATTTTTAGTCGAGTTATACGACAGCAGTATATATCTGAATGTAATTGTATTTGCTGAAGACTTAATTGATTATTTTAAGATTTTCAAAATTCATATAAAATAATTCAATTAAAGGATGCGATTTACTTATTCAAATAAAACGCGGTTTATATTTATCCTGAAAAATTAATTATATTTTATTTGATAAAAAAAAAGTGACTTCTATTTGTGATATCAATAACAATAATAGTATAAAATACTTTTATTTTTTCATAAAATATTTAACAACTATAATATTTTTTAGGAACGCCGAAATTTGGAGAAGATCTCAATAATGTGACAGTTCCTGTTGGTCGAGAAGCAGTGTTTGTTTGTAATGTCGATGGACTTTCTACTTTTAAGGTATATTATTGTATACATATCAATTATTTAAATTATTTAAATTTATTCAATTATTGTTTCAAATATTGAACAAAATAAATTAATTTAAAAAATTTAGCATTAAGCAATGTAAAATTTAACAATGTATTTTTCATATAAAGCAATCAACTCACTATATTTGTAAATTGTTTAAGTCTAAATCTAATTTAAATTTTAGATAAATTAAAGTAGTTTAATTAAATAAATGGTTTTATATAAAGTCTTTGAAAATTTTTTTAATTTAATTAATTTTTTAGAAATAGTATTTATTTGAAAGACAGGTAGTCCATTAATGTTATGAAATATTATTAGATTTGAATTTTTCTCTTTCTATTTGTAGTTACATTGTTAAGACATCTCAAGTTCTAATTGTAAAAATATTAAAAAGAAATAATTTATATTTTTGACATTGTTGTTTTTATTAATTTACAATGAGACGATGGATTACGACTCTCGGCAATCAGTTACAAGAGGTCGTAAGTTTGTTTCCTATCTAGCTTAAACAAGTATATTTTCTTCCTTGTATTGAAAGGCATTATAAATTCATCACAGAAAACATTCATAAATATAAATTTGCATATTACTTATATGCACTGGTAGTATACACATTTAAAAATACATCAATGTTTAAAATAAAAGTAAAAAAGAATAGATTTTGTTTTTATTTGGTGAATGGAGAAATACAAGTATTATTGTGGTAAGAAATAATTGTGGGTGATTTATATTTGCTACTTCAATAAAAAATACAATTAAATTAAAAGTGTATTGAATCATAATTTGATGACTTATCTTGAAAATGAATAAAGTTTTATTTTTTTTTATCAGTAATATTAGTATCATCAAAATCACAATTTTTATATAAAAATCAATAGAAGATATTTAATTAGAACGAATTGATTTTGTATATTTAACGATAAATATCTTTTATACAAAGTGAGTCTTATTAATATCTTATTTATGTCTACTATCAATTAAATGTTTAAAGTATATAGTTAGTAATTCTTATCGAAAAACATCCAGGTAATTATATTAAATTAAGTGTTTGTAGTATTCTTCAGGCATTTCATACATAAATGAAATATATATACAGACACTATTTGTTTTCAAATTTGAATAATAATTTATCATGTACAATTTATTTACTTTTAATTGAATTCAACGTCATTGTATTGAATAAATTAAAAATTATTACAGGGAATTAGGTATTAAAAAAACTTATGCAAATTCAAGTTAAATCTGATTTAATGAGAAAAATTAAAATGTGCATCAACAGTTTTAATTGGGTTCATAACTTTTAATATTTATTACATCATTAATATTTATAATAATTTATTTATAAATTTAAAAATAAAAGAACCGAATAAAATGCTTACAGGTGGCTTGGTTGAGAGTAGACACTCAAACTATTTTAACGATCCACAGCCATGTAATTACAAAAAACCACAGGATCGCAGTAACGCATAGTGATCATCGGATATGGTATTTACACATACGTGAAGTTAAAGAAGCAGACAGAGGATGGTATATGTGTCAAATTAATACCGACCCAATGAAAAGCCAACAGGGTTACTTGGAAGTAGTTGGTAAGTGGATAAAAAATAAAAGTTTCGTTAACAAAGAAGTCGTACTAAATTTTTTTAACTGCATAAAGTTTTGAAAGGTTTTTATATACTATGCTAATTGAAGCAAATAGGACTTTCAGAATTTTCTCTGCATTGGTAATCATAATTCAAAATTAAACTTTATTTAGCTATTCAACCAAATTATTATAATAATAGTATTGTTATTGAAATATTTTTATTTTATATTATGTTTTAATAAATCTGAGATCATCAATAATTTATTAGGCTAGTATTTAGTATAAAAAATATGTTTTATTTTGATATAATATGAGTATCTCCAAATGTAATAAAATAGACTGCACTAAATATTTTGCTTATAACGATATATTATAATTTTGTAAATTAAATTTGCATATGAGATTTTTAAATAAAGATGTACTTCTGTAAAGTAAAATATTAAATTAGTATGTTATTAAAAATTCATAAATCAAATTAATTAACATTTTTACAAACCCTTTTGAATTAAACTTTTGTTTCAGTTACCAAAATTTTTTTGTGTTATGAATTTAGCTTACAAATATTGATTTCAGTATAATTAACATCAACGTTTTTTTGTTATGTAGAGCTCTTTCGTAATGTGTAAACTAAATTTTGCTGTCTTTTAATATTTATAAAAATGAAATAAAGCGTGAATTAAAGTAAGACTCACATTAACTTAATGCAAAGCTTAATACTACACAATTTAGAATTTTTCATCTCTTTGGAATCATGTATTTGGTCATTTCCTCTAAGTTCATGGTGTTAACCTATACAAAGAAATAGTTTGAAATATTGTAAGCTTTATAATATTTCAAACTACTTATTTAATATCTAAATTTATTACAAAAGTTTCCTAAACAATGTAAAGTGTAGTAATAGTATCTTGCAAGATTATTACTCAAAAAGTTTACTACACTGAAAATAATTCAAAGAAATTTTGCACTGAATAGTTCAGAAAATTGATAAAATGATTGAAAATATGGGTAAAATAAAATTATGAGAAGTTTTAATCTGAATAATTAATTTAAGTTACAATCATTATATCGATTGATAATTTATTCAATTATAAATTTTTAACCAACTTATAAATCCTTTTATATAATCGAGTTTAATATAATCGAAATTTTGACATTTATATTTTTTATTTCATAGCGATTATATTGTAAAAAAATAAAAATTTAAATATTTTAAGAAGATATTTGTAAAAATAATTTTTACTATTATATCAACTAACTTTATAAAGAATTTTGTGTATTATAGTTGTTAGAATAGGTTTTACGAGCAAATCTTTATCAAAAAATTATTACATATGATATTTATTACTACTTTTGGTTTATTATATTGACTTTCCTATGAGCACGAAGACTAAGCACAATTATCAAGAAAATCAAAATAACATATTTTTTTATGAACTAACCTCAAATTTAATTGTAACAATTATTATTATTTTTGTATAACTAATTTTTTTGCGTGTAAATTTATTAGTACATATTAATTATTCACATTAACTACATAAATTTTGAAATATACATATGCAGTATAAATATACATAACACAATGGTACATAATGCTTAGACAAATCTAATAATTTTTAATTAATAGTCTGCTATTATAAAGAGATATTCATAGTTCTAAAGTATAATGATAATTTTGAAAAAATGCAAAACAAAATATTTAGTAGATCGAAAATTATTATATTTGCCATACATCATTGAACTCTTTTTATACTTCAGAACAATTTTCTTATTACGTAAAAGTAATATCATAATAACGGTAATTAATTTATATTATTTAATAACTTCATCTAATAAATTTCACTATTATTTAAATGATCAACAATACACTTAGCAATAATATATATATATATCAGGTAACGGTTTTTTATTTACAGTTTTTATTTATAGTTGTTAAAAAATGAAATTGCATTTCCCTCCAATTTTATTCTGTGGTTTGGGCATTGTCTGTTTAAACCTTTGGTCATAAATAAACCTATTTTACTCATTTATATGGCGAGATAAAAAAGTTTGAAATCCGTACACTGAAATTTGAACAGTTTTTATACTTAATGATTATTAAATATTGCAAATGCTTTGGTTCCATAATGATTATGTAGAATGCTTATTCATAATTGGAAATAAAACGTACACTCGTTTTTCCAACAAAAACATAATGCTTAATTTATATTTAACAGGTTATAAAACTTTTATTTTGATACATTTTTATTTTCACATTTGTTATTCCTAAAGGACATGTTTTTTTTTAATGATGTGTTGTGTAGAATCGTTTTGTTTGTTTCTGGATGGTATTATAATTTAATTTAAACTCGTGTATCAAGTACAACAAAAATTTGTACAGTTTCTCAGACATCTTTATATTTTTATTTCTAACTAGATTATTTGTAATTTGAAAAAATACAAGGAAAATAGCATTTTCCTGGTATATTCGTTTATGCTCATCACAATATGGTACAAATGTGTCAGTTTTAAACTTCAAATAAAGTTACCATTCAGTTTATAAAAAGCACAAAAAGTTTTTAATATTCTAGTAAATTTGAAAATATGTACACACAATCCCACTTAGAAGCTTGCAGTCACAATGAGAAGAAAAAGTTGCAGGAAACGCCATGTTACACTATCATTTCATCTCAGAATAAGAAAATGACGTAGTAAAACATTTAACCTATGGAACTAGGTAGCATGTAGTCTGAGTTAAATCTCACACACGATACACTCCAAAAACATCTCATTGTTGTGTTCAGTGGTACTAGATGTTACTACTATTACATCCAATATTAAACCGAAGGGTATATGCAAAAACTTTTCGTCATTCTACTGCTATATTTTTGCTGTCATAGCTGTGCAAGACTGACAAAATGTCAACCGACTCTTGACTTGTTTTTTCTTTTAATGTTACTCTGTCTCAACATTGCTACCATACTCGCGTATATATTTAACAAGATTTGGTATTAGAGTCTGCACTTCACCTATTTATTTTTTATTCAAATCACTGTTTCATTTAGAGCAAATATTTATGCTATTTAAAATCATTAAATCATAAAAACGTGGTTTCGTTAAAACATTTTCTTAACTTTGTAATGGATTTTACGTGTGTGCCAAATAACGGACGTATTTAAATTTTAAGCTTTGTATTTTCTAACCATCTAAGCTTTATCAAGAAATCTGGATGTTCTAAATTCAAACAAATTTACATGCAATTTAACATTCAAATTAATACTAAAAAAGACTGACAAAATGCTCACTTAACATAATTTTAATCGTTACTTTCTCTGCAATCACTGATTCGTATCGTTCGCTTTCAAGTATACACTTCAGTTTACTTTGATAGTATTTATGAAATACTTGGGCTTGTTCGCTAATCTGATTATATTTTTCGAAAACAATATTCGTCTTAGAATTTTTCGTTTGCTCAAAAATTTTATTTTATTTTTATCTCAAAATAAGAGAAATTATGAAAAAAATATAAATGAAATAAGAGATATAAATCTAAAATAGTTTTATTATACGGTTGGTTCATTATATTATTATTAAACAATAGTGCTAACACAAAAGTAATTTCTGTGATTGTATATTTTCGAAAATATACAATCACATGAAAAGTTTAAAAAAAAGCGATCATATTTTGTGAAATTTAACTGATAATTTATAGGTTATAATACATTATTTATTATTGATAATTTTATCAATTATATTGTTGTGAATTTATTACGTAAATAAATTAAGATAAGTTTCATATTAAATTAAATAAAAAATACAAAGAAAAATTCGATATAATAAAATTAGAAGTGACATATTAATGAAATTATGTTTTTGACTTTTATAAATTAGCACTTTTAAAAAATTGAGTGTAATAAAATAAGATATTGAGGAAAAACAAAATTATTGTGATTTTGATTATAAGATTAATATTCATTTATATCATAAAATTATATAAAAAAACTCAAATAAAACTTAATAGAGATAATTAAAAAATAGTTTTTTAAAAAATCACGAGCTTAAATTATTCCCTTATGACGACATTTTAGAAGTAAAACTTTCAAAACTTAGTAAATTCATTAAAGTATTATCATTAGAAAATAAATTTTATTATAATTTATAGTAAATATATAAAAAATACTATGAAATAGACCACAATCTTGAAGATTTTAATAAATGCTGATTAATAACAGTAATAGAGAAGAATAAACAAATAACAATAAAATGTAATTGTGCTATCGAATCAATTGATATAAATTAACTAGTAAGTTTTTAAATAGACAATGTTGATTTTAACTTCATACGAGAGTATTATTTTTTTGTTGTATAAAAAGTTTAATTTTAAATTTATAAAGTAAATTAAATTAATTAACCCCAATATTATGACATAAAATGATAATTTATGTAGTCAATTTTTACTTTAACAAAAACAATTTTTTAAAAATATTGAACGAAATATTATAAAATATACTAACGTATTGAAATAATAAATTTCTTAATTATTTGCACAATTTTTATTTCAGTACCTCCAGATATCTTGGATTATCCAACGAGTACAGATATTGTAGCCAGAGAAGGTGGTAATGTTTCATTACAATGCGCTGCTTCTGGGTTTCCAACACCAAGTATTACTTGGAGAAGAGAAGGCAGTCAACTTATTCAAATGGCTAATGGACCATCTGGTAATTTTTAATAATTCAAAATATATCATAGTCTTAAAAATCATAGATTAAAAATATTTTATTATTAAGATTAGTAGAAAAAAAATATTCATGATTCTTTTGATTTTGAGCAGTGACTTTCAAATGCCATTTAAATAGTTATATATTGTTGAGTATTAAGAAAAAGCAGTATATTGTTATACATTAATTTATTATTTACTTACCTACATGAAAAAGACTGTTACCTTAGAGTATTATATATATAAAAAAAAAAACTCATTAGTATCTTAATATGTCTTAACGGGTTTTCTTTAATAATAATTTTTTGAAAAATATATGAATAATAAAGTCATATAACTCCATGAAATCAGAGTTATCAATACAGAAATTGTGATTTGAAAATTTTATCATTTTGAAACGTACATAAAATTAAGTGAATCCAACGTAACAAAAATATAATATTTTTTCAATTAAAGTATTTAAGGACTTGATAATTACTATTAATATATATTGAATTGTCTAAATATTGTATAAAAAAAAGTAAATATTTATAGATAAAAACCAACAATTTCAAAAAACTTTTATAAAGTTCAGGAAGTTTTAGAATTTAGAAGATTATGTACTCAGTAGACAGAGAAACATTTAATAGGCGCCATTAAAAAAGTTTGAAATTATGTTGGCTGTTTAGAAAGACATTTAAAGGGTTTTTAAGTAGCATTGTATATTATTTGTGGTAATCACATTTTTGTGGAAGTATTGTAGGAAGCATATCAATAAATCAATTAATGTAGGCAGAGTTTAAAAGTCTTAAGTAATAAAAATCAGAATAGTTTTAAAAAACACATTTTTGTATCATTTTACATCCACACGTGTCATAATTTATTTAAGAAATGTAAGTAACTCTTAAAATAATAATGTGTTACGTAATTTAGTCGCAATTAAATTTTTTTTTATAGTGACAGTTATTTTCTCTTTAAAAATAATATTACTAATAGTAATATCTATAGATAAAAATAAAAAGATAATTTATCGGCTATATGCCTTCTTAAGAAAAAAGGTTTATTTTAAGTATCGTATTATATAATATAAAAAATTTGTGAAAAAAATATATTTCTACTCATAAAAGTCAAAGAACCTGACAGCCATTTAGAGGATTGTTAACAATGTACAGGATTACTTGAATAACAATTTTCATTGGTTAGTTAGGGAAAAATAAACATTTCTCTTCATTGCCGATTGAAATATAAAATTATAAGTTTGAAATCTATTTTCGTATAAGATTTCTAATAGGGTAAAAAAATATTTTATACGTAAAAAATTCATCAAAAAAAGAACTAACTATAATCATAATGTAACACTTGAATTTGATTAAATAACCAAAAACGTTACAATAAAGTTCAAGAAAAGAATGTTTATAAATTAATTTTCTCTTTAAGTCTTCTTTAGACTTAAAATGATAAGTTATACTAATGTTTTTTAGAGAAATTGTCTTTAAAAAAAAGACACGAGAAATACTAATAATTTTTTCGCTTAATTATTTTAACGCAGGAACACTTTTTTTTAAAGCTGTAAGTACTTTGATTTGTTATATCTTGTTAGTAAACAGAGTATGCATCTAAGAATTGTACTGAATTTTGAAATTCTATGTCATTTTATCTAATGATAATAGTTGAGGGTTAATGCAAAATATATGGAATGGAAGTTATATTTAACTCTTTAGTTTATTGTACACAGTATCAACTTTCTGTTTTTTTTTACTTATTAAGACTCTTTCTACATTTTCTAAACGTTTAATCTTCGTATATTATCTTTTTTAATGAATAGCCATAGAACCTCAGAAGAAGTTGGTAGAACAGAAGAAATATGACTTGAAGTTTTTTTATATAAAGTTAATAGTAATACGGAACTGTTTCTTCTCCATTTTCTTACAGTTCAAAATACTATTAATTTAGTATGCAATTACTTAAAAGTAGCTAAAAATTATTTTCACTTCGAATGAAAAAAATAAATATTCAGTGATATTTTTTAATCATATATAATAAAAATATTTGTAATCTGTTGATAATAAATATATTTCTTTTTTCTTTTGAATAATGATTTCATTTGAGTGTTTTATTAAAATCTGCGACGTAAATTCTTTAGAGTATCTCAATATTAAAATAATAACAATTTCGCTGTATCTGAATCCTAATGGAATTCATTAGAAATAAATTTAAATGTTTTGGTATCACGCCATTATTTGCAATTTTCGTGTAGTATGTCAATAATCATGAACCAAAACACTTTGACACATAAAATGTATCATAATTTATTGTAATAACAATAACAACAGTAACGAAATAGATCATAATCGAGTCATCACTGTTTACTAAGTCAACGGCCGTACGGATCGTGTCGAAAAGGATTTCATTGCTGATCAAACATCGTTATGGATTCCGGTCAGGTGTGGGTTCTAGCGTACGTAATTGGCATCTCCGGACAAAAGTCGTTTCCGATATCATAGCAAAACGACTATATTGTACTATTTTTACCACCTCCGTCTTCTTTCCCCAAGACAACACAATACACACTGACGCGACGGTTACATAAAATAATAATATCGTTTCACAAGAGGCGAACGAAGAAAAACAGCTATTTTTTATGATTCTTGAGCGTCACGCCATCGTTGTTGATGTTGTTTTCTTAGCAGAGATGTTTGCCCGGTAAGTGTGTGTATGGGTACGGATTATACAACAACGACGGCGAACGGCGACTCCGGTGGGGATTCCGAAATGACCCCCGAAGAGCGGAGAAACTATACGATTCCACTGGAATAAAAATCCGCTGGCCTTTGATACAGCTTGTAGACGTGACGAGAAGGGCGCTGAAATTTTGATTTTGTTACTTCTCTTTATACTAAAGGTTATTTTTGTTACATATATATTTTTTAGACACCCATCTATCTGTAACGACGGCACGTGTTCGGTACGCAATCGAGTGTATTGAAATCTACTCTTATACCTTTTACACTTTTTTCTACAGTGCTGACTTTATTACAATCTCAAAATGCAATTTCACTACTAATAATGTTTTACACTTATCATACATTAATGTACCTGATAATAATAATAAATAGCTCGGTTTGTATTGAAAATTGGAGTTCACATATAAATTCAATAAACTAGAATCAATTATCATGTAATTTATACTGTTGTAATCTCCGTCTATTCATTTTAAAATCTAATAAAAAAGATAAAAAGTTATATCAAATCAAAAAACATTTATAAATATAAATGTATAAAGACTCACATTGTATAGTAAAAAAATATGCGAAATTTAAGTACATATTCTTTCGAAAAAAAATTATGTCAATTGATGTTTTGAAATTGATCTAGAAAAGTGGACATTTTTAGAATAAGTACTTTAATCATCTGGACTTATTCATCGAAGTACATTTTTTTTCGTCTTGATTTATCTTTACCTATATATATATTTTTTTTTTGACCTTGTGCCCACTAGTTGAATACTAATAATTTACAATATAAATCGAGATATATAAATATATATTTATTTCTAAATTTTAAACTAAATTAAAAATTTTGTTATTTTGGATAAAATGTTGTGTAATTTTTTATTTTCTAAAATTAATTAAATTTTTGAAAATACTAATAAAAAAAATAATACTCCATATTTTTTATAAAAAAAAATTATTCTAAAAATATTCATACATTTAATTAAATAAAATTAAATGTTAATATTTTTTTTTCTACATTTTTAAAATATATAAATACCACTTTATTAAAATCTTGATTAGTAAATTACTAACCAACATTATATTGTTATGGAAAAATATATTTTATTATGTATAAATACTTTATTAATTTATTAGATTAAATCATTCTAAAATTAGTTTATTTTTATTTATTTTATAGACATTTCTTTTGGTCTGGTGGTTAACTAGCACACAATTCTACATTTCTACAGTTTTCAGTTTTATAATCTTTATTATGAACGATAAAATCTTTGATTGAATATGAAATATATCATATAAATTAAATTTGACGTGTATGTGAAAAATAATGAATTTATTTTTTGTTAATCATTTGTTTTTAATTTGGACATTGACAACTTGAGAGAAATTTATAGAAGTAAAGTTATTATAAATAATTTAATTTACAAATATTGACAAGAATATACAGGAGTAATTAATGTTTTTTCTAATTCAAACTGTTTATAGTTAAAGTTAATTTATTTATACACCCATAATAATTATGGGACATAATATAATTATTATGTTATGTATGTTCGCTATTTTATATCATTTTAATAAAATGGTTAACTTTGTGAATGCCCAATATTTATATCATGTCACATATTTAAATGTAATTAAATGTCAATAATTTTTCTTAATATAAGAAATAGATTAAGTCTAAAAATAATGTTTACTTTTAGCTTCGATGCGAAGCTGAGAAGGTATTGGTTTTACTATGATGTGTTTTTTTTTTTTTTTTTTTTTTTTTTTTTTTTTT